GGTACACTCCAGGGAGGAGGAGGAGGAGGTGGAGGAGGAGGCACGCGAGGAGGAGGAGGAGGAGGAGGTTGGGGAGGGGGAGGCAGGCGAGGAGGGGGGTGGTGGCGGGAATGATGGTGGTGACGGGAAGGGGGTTGACAACAAGGGATGGCTGCGTCGCAACGCAAAGCTACCAAAGCAGGTTCCTGCTACTGAGGAGCAGAAGTGGCTCATTGAGCCTACAGGAAAAGAGTAAGTGGTTCATTATTTTGCTTGTCACATGCTTATTCCGGTTGTGATTTATTTTGCTTGTCACATGCTAATGGTTCATTCTTTTGCAGCAACTGGATATATTCTAAAGGGGTTCGTATTCCCAACGGCCTCATCACCGTCTTGCTGAAGTTATACTGGCCGGGGTTGTACTGTCCGGATCCAGTCAGGCAGCCGGACCGTCGGGTTTTGGCCACGAGCTGGGACCACTGGGAAGCGGCCCTCCACGCGGACCAAGAGACCCATGCCAAGGATGTGATCACTACTTTCTGGGTGAGTTCTCTTCAGAAGCACAAGTCCATTCTAGTTTCATGAATGATTTAACTCATGGCTTCTTCCATTCTTGTTACATGCATGATTGTAGAAATTCTATCGAGTTCTTCCGTAGCACAGGGCTAGAGCGAACCAGATCGTGCTGCGCCAATGCAAGAAGAAGGCCCGCCAGATGCAGTACGAGGTGCGCTATGTGGCCATCTCGACATACTACCACGACGTTCTTGGTGTGAAGATGACCAAGGAAGAAGCGCGGAGGATGGGCATTACCTTGGAGAGGCCCGAGTACTTGGCGGTAAGTATAAAAGATTTTTCATTATGCTTTCATATATTATGCTTTCATTACCATGTGGTACATTTCACCGTTTCATGTTGACATGCCATTATGCTTTTATTATGTAGGTGTGTCCAAATTGGTGTTATGGAAAAGACGAGTCCTGGGCGGCATTGGTGGATCTTTGGTGTGATGAGGCTGGAGCCTGGGCGGCTATGAGAATCAAAAATAAGGCTAACCGAGGGAAGGAGGGAGTACATGCTCAGGGAAACCGAAACCACTATCTCCACAAGGCAGTTAATGTATGACTAACCCCATTAAACATTCTTCTTCTTCTATTTACCATCACTTTCTTATGTATGACTAACATCTGTTTGGTGGTGCAGGAGGAGAAACTGAAGCGGCCGCTCTCACACATGCAGGCGTGGGAGATCGCCCATACGCGGAAGGACCCCAAGCCTGGCGAGCCCAAGTACTACTGCAAGAAGACCGCGGGGAGGAAGAAGGCCTACTCCGAAGCCTATCTGAACTTACATCCAGACACACCTGACCCCATTGCGGCGGATCTAGACGAGAGGGCGCTGGTGATCATGGGGCCCAAGGAGCACGGTCGGGAGGCGGTTCTCGATGATGTGGTCACTCCGACTATCTCCTACACATAGCTCCGTCGGATCGACCCGAGCCTGAGCCAGCGCACGAGCCAGCCAGTGACCAGTGCACAGTCCCTCTTTCAGGAGCAACAATCTGTAAGTATTTTCCCTCTTATCTTTATTGCTCACTTTATTTTCCGCATCTAGTAGTTTTATGAGTTCCATCATGTCATACCGTAGGCCTACCTGGAGTACACACGCCAGGAGACCATGGTGTGGCATCAGAGGCTTCATGAACACCAAGTGCAGAGGGATCGCCAGCTGGAGCAGGCTTTTCAGGAAATGGCGGCCGGCAGGTGTCCTCAGTTGCAGCCAGCACAATGCCCTCCACCACAACCAGTGCTGCTGAGCTGTGAGGAGTTTGTGGCACAGAACGCTGGCCCCTCGCCGGTTAGTTCATCCCCAATCTATTCACCCAAAGCATGTCATGCCTTTCAACACAGTCATATATCCCGTTAATATGTCTTTTCAACATGCAGGGAACAGGTGGGTCTATCGTTGGCGGTGGTCTTCGCAGCACTCCGAAGACACGGAGCCCGACCACTCCGATCCACGGAGGCGGAGGTGGAGGCGGTCTTGGCGGTAGCGCTGCCGCTAGCAATGAGGACCTGGGCTTCGGCGGTCTTGGCGGTGACGACCTCCACGGTGCTCGACGTCCTGGCGCTTAAGCCTAGTGTGTGGTGATGATGCTTGAGATGACTTGTGTGTGGTGATGATCATTTAGAGACTTGTGTGTGGTGCTTTTCTATATGCTTATGCTTATGTTGGTTGTGATGATGATCATTTAGAGACTTGTGTGTGTGATGATGCTTATGCTTACGTTCTTTGATATGTGCTGCTGATATGTGCTGTTATATATGTGCTGTTATTTGAATTGAACTGATTTGAAAACAAACAGAAAAAAGAAAAAAAAATCAGAAGCAAACTATGCCGACGGCTATGCCGTCGGCATAGGACTGGCGTGAGCTCCCAGTTGCTGACGCGTGGCACCTATGCCGACGGCAAAGCCGACGGCTATGCCGTCGGCATAGGGTGCCACGCGTCAGCAACTAGGAGCTCTGTGGCACACCTATGCCGACGGCCTGGCCGTCGGCGTACGTTTTGACTAAGCCGACGGCCTAGGGGTGCCACGTGGCGTCCTGCGGCTGGCCTAACTTAACGGTGGCCGCCGTTAGGCGTGATTGTTGCCGACGGCCGGGGCCGTCGGCATAGATGTACGGCCCCCGTCGGTGTAGCATATATGCCGATGGCTTTTCTATGCCGACGGCCTCCCTGGCTGTGCCGACGCATATGTTGCCAACGGCCCTATGCCGACGGGGGCCGTCGGCATAGGTCTATCCCGACGGGACTCAGGGCTATGCCGACGGCCCTGGCCGTCGGCATAGGGGGCGATTCCGGTAGTGGCAGTCTTGTTTTGCTTTCACCCCCTCGATCTAGATGGAGACGGGGAGGGGAAGAGAAGTCTGGCAATGGCATCGTAGTGCAAGTGGAGACCCCGTGGAGCACGAGTGTGTAGGCCGAGAGGAAGTGTTTTGTTTCCTCTCGGCATGCACAGCACAGCGACGGGATAGCGGCACTGTTCACACCCACGCCGCGCTCACCACAACCATCCATACCTCTCGCCCGACCGGCTCAGCAGTGACGTACTTGGCATATTCGAGATAGCATAAAAGGCGGCCATCGGAACTCCTATCGCCTCATCGGTCGCCGTTGCAGCCACGACAACACAACACAGACGCACCACCACCACCCAGCGGAGCGGAGTTACTCAAGAACTCTCCGGCCGGCCGGACCTCGCGCGCGTCAGCATGGCACCCACGGCGGCGGAGCAGCACACGAGGAAGGCGGTGGGACTGGCGGCGCGCGACGCCTCCGGCCATCTCTCCCCGGTCGCCATCACCCGGAGGTACGCACGCAAGCCAGTCGCTCTCTCCTCTCGTACTTACGGTTTTGCACTTGTCCGGCGGTGTAGCTTGCACGCAGCACGCCTCCGCATGAGGCAGCGCCGCCGTACGTCGTGCGACTATGCGTGGCCGGGCGCGCCGATGGACATGGCGGCACGGCCGATCCAGTTGGTCTCGGCTACTTTTTCCCTCATGCCCCGGCCCTTGCTTGCATGCACCATGCATGGTTCCTCTGTGGAAAATAATGTAATTTATTCTCGTTATAAATTGTCGCGTGGCTGACGATGATTTACTACGAAATTAATCAGCAACACCTATTTTAAGGAGGGAGTATGATTTTAGCGAATTTGTGCGGCTAAATCCAGTATATATTCTCCTTTGTCTTGACACAGGTTCCCAAATAGTCTGTGGCATGTAAATTTGTTTCTCTAGATTTATGTACATGTGTTGCTTTCTGTGTTATTTTTTTATATGAAATTCGGTCTTAATTTGCAAATAGTATGAGTAATATCATGTGTCCAGTTCAACCGTAACAAATACAAGTTTGGATTATCGTGTGTCCAGCACAACCGTAACGTCGACACCAGCCTTTCTTGTTTTAGAATCTTCAGGCGTTAGTTGTAAAAGGCACGTACATACATGTGATATGTCACTCTCATACTTGTCACTGCTATTCCACTGCCTCTGTTTGTGTGGCTTTTGTTCTTCCTACGTGTGGTATGAATCAGGTGGCTCATGTGGGCAAACCTCAACGGCACACCTGTTCCAATGACTTCATTGATTACCACTTTAGTAGGACTTGACATGTTAGGACTTAGGACTGGCCGACAAAGAGGTTGTAGCGTTTTTTCTTATTGTTGCTTGTTCGCTTATTTGGATTGAAACTTCATGTTCAGAAGAGGATTTAGTTTCCGAGAACTTTTGCTAGCGAATGAGCTATGCAATTTAATCATCATCACATCTTTCGAAATAGTGAATACCTAGTTATTCAGGCTCATTTGATGCAATCATGCAAATGTACTGCCGCAAGTTTGTCATAGAAAATCATTTGATATTTTTATTCTATTTTTACACATATCCATATAAAGTAATGCTACCAAAAATGTGGGCAAACCGTACGTGCCCGTTATGAAGTAGTTTGCAGTAGGAAACAAAAGATCTGTGTAATTTGTAGATGGTGCTAGTAGTTTTATGTCGTCATCATAGCCGCGCTAGTGTGCTGCGAGCTGTATAAGGTGGTTGATGGACGATGAGGATGTGCGGTCCTACCACTTGCTTTGCAAATTATTTTCTAAATTCTCTATTTTTCCAAAGATTAATAATTAATAGGCAAGTCCGAACAAATGATTTTCTAAAATCTCTATTTTTCCTACAATTATGTGATTTGTTCAAACGAGTAAAATCGTTGTATGAATGATGAAATTCAGTAGTTTGATTAGACAAAAAAATCAGCAAAAAGAATTGATCATTTGCACTTATGACTGATTGTTTGGCTTTTGAACCTTGTTGATCATGTGGGCGTGGGTGAGTGTTTTTGCCAACTTTGTTCTTGATGGATTCAGTTATCTAGAGCCAGACATCTGCCTCTTTGATGAAACATAAAAAAACTAAGACTAGTTGCATCACCGAGCAATGAAATGAGTTGAGTGACAAAGCCATGATTTACTAGTGAGATTTATTAGCCTGGTTTACACACTAACATTTACTACCTCCATTCCCAAATATTTAAAGTTCTACGTTCAGTCTAAATTGAAATTCTATAAGTTTGCACTAGTAGAAAACAGGGCTTTCGTTCGGGACAGATAAGTTCATTAGTCTCGGTTCAGTCATGAACCGGGAATAATGTGAGCATTGGTCCCGGTTCATGCGGCAAAGGCATTAGTCCCGGTTCAAATGGGACCTTTAGTCCCGGTTGGTGCCACGAACCGGTACTAATGGGTGTGATGCCCATTAGTACTGGTTCGTTGCACAAACCGGTACTAAAGGTCTAAACCTCTAGTACCGATTCGTGCCACAAACCGGTACTAATGAGGTTTGAGGCATTAGTACCGGTTCGTGCCACGAACCGGTACTAATGAGGTTTGAGGCATTAGTACCGGTTCGTGGCAAAGGTGGACCTCCAGGCAGCGGCCACGTGGACGGCCTTTAGTCCCGGTTCGTGTAAGAACCGGGACTAAAGGGGGAGGCTTTAGTAACGACCCTTTAGTACCGGTTCCAGAACCGGGACAATAGGTCCTTTTTCTACTAGTGTTGACAAATCTATAGAAAAATATACATTTTTTATAACCAATTTGGTTTATTTAGTTCATCATAAAATATAGTTTCATACTGCATACATTTGACTTTGTAGTTATTGGAAAATTTTCCTATAACTTGGTCAGACAACCTAGATCTTCAAATATTTTGGAACAGAGGTAGTACTACGTAATAGCATTTATTTTTATGTTCATGTTTCTTATGAGTCTTGCTTCAGGAGCACTGGAGATGACGATGTGGTGATCAAGATTCTCTACTGCGGGATCTGCCACTCCGACCTACACAGCATCAAGAATGAATGGAAGAACGCCAGGTACCCCATGATCCCTGGGCACGAGATCGCCGGCGAGGTCACTGAGGTCGGCAAGAATGTGACCAAGTTCAAGGCCGGCGACCGTGTGGGCGTCGGGGTCATGGTGAACTCATGCCAGTCCTGCGAGAGCTGCAACAAGGGCTTCGAGAACCACTGCCCGGGCATAATCCCCACCTACAACACGGTCGATCTCGATGGCACCATCACCTACGGCGGCTACTCCGGCATGGTGGTGGTGCACGAGCGGTTCGTGGTCCGGTTCCCGGACACCATACCGCTGGACAAAGGCGCGCCGCTGCTGTGCGCCGGCATCACCGTGTACAGCCCCATGAAGTACCATGGTCTGAACGCTCCCGGGATGCACCTCGGCGTGCTGGGACTGGGCGGGCTGGGACATGTTGCGGTCAAGTTTGGCAAGGCCTTCGGGATGAAGGTGACGGTGATCAGTTCGTCGTCGGGGAAGAAGCAGGAGGCCCTCGAGCGGCTAGGTGCGGACGCGTTCGTTGTCAGCAAGGATGCCGACGAGATGAAGGTATAAAGATGTTTTTTTCCATCACCAATTTTTTTATTCAAATCTGGTTTCTGTTAGATTAGTATAATATTGGGTACAACCAGATATATGGTACTTGAACTCAGAAACAACCCTAAACGAAGTACATACAATTATATGCCTCAAAATGCTTCTGAAGCCGCAACAAGACTTGTCAACTCGCACCACCATAACTCCAGCTCCTAGTGCTAAAATTTGTCCTTTTAATGGATTTACCTCTTGTGGAACCCGAGGTTTTTGGAAGTGGTTGACATCGATAAATCCAGCCATCGAAATACCCGCCAAGACATATAGAGGTAAAAGAATCGTTGAATCAGCGCAATAGTAGACCGCCGTGTACGACAGAGATTGGCAACAACACCAGGTATATTGGCGGGGGGATCACCCCTATCTAGGTAGGTAGGCATCCACGGGTCGTACCAAGCCGGCAATGTTACTCACAAAGGCTCGAAAGAAGAGCTTGTTGAAGAAGACGATGTTCCCGCCGATGATGACAGGAAGCTTACTGCTTGATGCTTACTGCTTACTGGTTAATTTAAATGTGTCGTCTTTGCAGGCTGCAATGAGTACCATGGATGGCATCATAAACACGGTGTCTGCAAACATCCCCATGGCCCCTCTCTTGGGGCTACTAAAACCCAACGGCAAGATGATCATGGTTGGCCTCCCAGAGAAGCCTATGGAGATCTCCCCTTTTTCTCTGGTTGCCCGTAAGTCCTCCGACCTCACAAGCCTAGCTATATATATCCTCTCTTGTCTAACCATTTTAAGAAACCATGCATTGCATTATCGACCACAGGCATTTAGTTTTGTGCGTAACTGACCGGTGCACATACTGACGTACGTGTGGCTGATTTAATGTACAGTGAACAAGACCCTGGCCGGGAGCTGCATCGGCGGCATGAGGGACACCCAGGAGATGCTGGACCTCGCTGCCAAGCACGCCGTGACGGCGGACATCGAGGTGATTAGCGCCGAGTACGTGAACACGGCCATGGAGCGCCTTGCCAAGGCCGACGTGAGGTATCGATTTGTCATCGACATCGGCAACACCCTCGACAAAGCCGCCGCCTCCTCCGAGTGACTCTTGTTCTCTGTTTTTGTCAGCAGTACGTAACAAGAGAGACAATTAATCTAAATTTATATTTGTGTGTATGAAAGCGTACGCCAGCAGGTATAGGCGCTACTTGTTGTATTTATAATTTTATTATATGTGAAGGAAGACATTATTACATGAATTCTTCTTGAGCTCTTTGGCAGATGTTGCATGATATCCCAAGAATGAGCCATATGTGCTATACACCATCAGTTTTCGAACCTGGCTCTCCCCTAACGTACTTAATCGTATGTGGTTCTGTTATTCCAAAATAAATAAATTGGAAGATACATCATTGTGTATTAAAATGAAAACACTATTTATGGTCCTTAGCTGTGTAGGAAGTGTAGAAAGTAAACACCATCAACTTGGACACCGTTCATTTTGATTACGCCCCTTGTACTACCAAAGTTGATCTCTCCATCTAAGAATCTTTTCTATTGACAGTCGAGGTGGCCCATAGTTTTTGTGTTTTTTCGCTTGCTTGACGGGAATACTCGGTGCATTGTTGAAAATTCAAAATGGTTGTAATTGGAAATTACTACTCCCTCCGTTTCGATTTACTCGCCACGACGAGTAAATCGAAACGGAGGGAGTACTAGCTAGAGAAATCATGCATGCTAAAGTAATGAGATATCACCTAAGGAGGCGGACAGTGAACCAGTGGCTTCTCCTCATATGCTGCTGCTTCTGCTTCCATGTGCTGCTTATTAACAATTGATATTGTTGGAAATTAAAGAGCCAAACGACCCTAACGCGGAATAAGCAACCAAATAACCCTGTGTCTTAATACATACATCAGCTCATGCCTGGATTGTATTAGTATGAAATTTAGCCGGCATTCAACTGAACGGACGTACGGGTGAGAGTTAGAGCTATAGTGAGTGAGCTGCCATGGTGGTAGGTTGGGGTGTCAAATCACATCCACACTCCATGACCACTCGTCCAACCAACACAGCTCAAATGGCTCACGACCTCGCGCTTTGTCCCGCTCCTGAGTTTAGCTTAATTCATCCATGTCCCGCCTCCGTTTCGGCCACATTGCTCGCTTTTGTCGTGCGATGCAACCTGTCGACCAGACTACGTCGCAACCATGTGTTGCTCCACCGCATGTATCCGCCATCCAAGCTGATGTGCCATTACAGCCCGTCCTTGAGCAGCAGGCTGAGCTACTTTGCATTGAGCTTCGCGAATGTCTTGTGCGTGTTGAATGTGTTGGCAAGGGCGGAGGTTGCTCTTGGTAAACTTCAGGTTGTGCCGATTGGGTCTCTGCTCCCCGAGCTTCAGGTTGGTTCTGCAGATGGAGAGGAAGTCGATCTCTATGGAGGTTTCTCTCCTCGTGCTAGGCCCTGCTCTATGGTGTCGACTGACATTGGGGGTGAAGTGATCGTCGAGGACGTGGCTCCAGTTCTACAAATTATGCCTGAGTTGACAGTGCTATGTGAGGAGTCCCCTCCACCTCTTTTCGGTGGTGATTCCGAAGGAGATGGGCTTGCTAGGGGCTTTGGCGGTGCCCACGACACCCTCACCACCGCCCTTGGAGTCTAGCACTAGTGCAGAACCGGCCTTTAGTGTCGGTTCGTCAACCGGCACTAAAGAGTGGGGACTAAAGGTCCCCCCTTTAGTACCGGTTCGTCACGAACCGGTGCTAAAGTGCAAACACGTGGCACGAGCCAGGCCCGGGTGCGCGTAAGACTTTAGTACCGGTTGGTAACACCAACCGGTACTAAATGTTTGGTTTTTTTAAAAAAATTCCTTTAATTTTGTGTTTTCAATTTAATTTAGTGATTGTTTTATATTATAATGAGTTGTTAAATCATTAGGTGAAAGTACCGTGGATTAGTTTCGACTGGATGCATTTGGATCTAGAGCTAGCTAAGTGATCAAGTATATGCCATATCCATATTATACTTGATCACCTAATTAGGTGATCAAGTATAATATATATGGATATGGCATATATATAATTGATCACTTAGGTATGATTCATCCAGCTGAAACTAATCTGTGGTTTCTTTCATTAAATGATATAATAACTCATCATCATCATCATCATATTAATATAAAAAATCTTGCATCATATCATCAACATGAGTATATATATACTCTAGCTAGCTAGTTAAAAATCATCGTAGTCGTTATTATCACTATTTAATCATCATAGTCATTGCCGCTATCTAATCACCACCAACAGTAGCTTAAAGAAGAAACATTCACCTTGTACCAGAAGCAAAAATATCATCGAGTTCAACATGATTGTCATGATATTATAAGCGTTCATATATAACACCACAAAAACAAATCACTCTTTGAGATTAAGTTCAGAACAAAGAACACAGACATGAAAGGACAAGTACTAAGAGCAGTATGAACTAGCTAAATCACTCATGCTACTCTCTCTCTGGTAAAATAGCATAGACCATATATAGCTCTCCTGATTCATCAAACTGGAGCATGCAGATGAACCTGTCTCCTAATCGTGGGCTGCGCTTCTCATTGCTTCCCCCTAGTACTTCTCTGCGATCGTTAACAATTTTCCTCCAATCTTTCACTATTAAGTATTCATCGCTTCTAGAAATCCTGAATGCATTCATGTGCAATGCAGGATATCTTGGCCGTAAGCTAACAATTGACATGCGACCTTTAGTCTCGATCCCCTGTGACACAACTGTCATCGGGAGTCCCTGTTGAAGAACATCGTATAGTACTTAATTAATATACTTAGCAATAAAAGTTTAACAAAAAAATTATGTATGCAAAAGATGCACTGAGGATAAATAGTAAAAATCTTACCATCATTCCTAAATAGATGTGACCGTAATTCAATACCATCACTATTGGTCGCACGTTTTGAGTACTAACATTTCTAAGTGCAGGAAGAAAATTTGTCTTGACAGTATGAAGATCCTCAAGCTATGAAACAGAATGACTTATCTCCTCGTAGTTTAGTTCAGCTCCGGGACAGTAGTAGGTCCTGTCTACCAAGCGTCGGACATGTTTGCTTGAATGGAAATAAGCTGTCAATAGAAATTAGTTGTCAATTATTTTTGAATAAGCAATATCAAAGACAAAAATATAGTTGACAAGAACTCAAATAATGGTAGAACTGGAGGCGTTTACATATCGACCCATATGTCTCTATTACCTTCAATATCATCTTCCGGACGAATATCAAAGATGATAACCATACCAGGCTCAAATGCATAAGCCTTGCATAGTGCTTGCCAAGTTTTGCATTCAAAATAGGTGTATGTGTGTGCATTGTATACTTTGACGTTGAAAGTATAACCATGCTCAGTTTTCAGATAAACTTCTTTAGCTCCATAGTTTTCATATCATTGAAACCTATCTTATCCAAGACAAAAATTCGTGCATGGCAGGGGATGCGCTAGTAGAATAGTGAATATTACAAATTATAAGTCAGGCAAATGAAGCATATATAAGTCATGCTTAATTACGAAAACAGACTTGTCGTTGTGACTTACTGTATCGAATTCGAAGGTCTCATCCAGCTTGATGCTGAATCGCCTATCATCAACAAGGAAATTTCTGTCGCACTGGCCGCGCTGGTCTTCACAATATTCGCACATGATGAAATTTTTTCCGTCGTCAGACGACATTTCCTATATGTTCATATAGGCGAAACATTAAACACTTACTAATTGAATTAATTCAACTACTTCTATTAATTCAAATAAGCATTTACTAAAAATAAACTAGTTAGATTAATTCAAATAATCTCATACCTAAATTTTAATTAGTTCAAATAATCTCATATACCTAAATTTTCTTGCTAAAAATAAACTAGTTCTATTAATTCAACTAGTGTTCAACTAAGCATTTACTAAAAATAAACTAGTTATATTAATTCAACTAGTTCAACTAAGCATTTACTAAAAATAAACTAGTTATATTAATTCAACTAGTTCAACTAAGCATTTACTAAAAATATACTAGTTATATTAATTCAAATAATCTCATATACCTAAATTTTAATTAGTTCGAATAATCTCATATACCTATAAATTTTCTTACTAAAAATAAACTAGTTCTATTAATTCAACTAGTTCAACTAATCGTTTCTAAAAATAAACTAGTTATATTAATTCAACTAGTTCAAATAATCTCATATACCAATTTTTTTTACTAAAAATAAACTAGTTCAAATAATCTCATATACTTAATTTTTTTACTAAAAATAAACTAGTTCTATTAATTCAACTAGTTCAAATAATCTCATATATATAAATTTTCTTACTAAAAATAAACTAGTTCTAGTTCATCTAACATTAACATTTCTAACATTCTAAAAATAAACTAGTTATATTAATTAATTCATCTAAACAATAAAAAACAGAAAATAAGTAAAAAAAATGTGTGTGTGTATGTGTGTACTTACATGTGTGTACGTGTAGTGTGTGTGTGTGTATGTGTGTATGCGTGTGTGTATGTGTGTGTTTATGTGTGTGTGGGTACTACGATCGAGCGGGTGTACGGGCGGCGGGGGAGG